TATCAGGATTGAACAACGTCGACCCCCAAAGTAGCAGACCAAGGAAGCAAGGACACGAGGCAGGTAAAAGGTAAGTGATATTTATTTACAGGTGAAGATAAAACTCGAACAGCTGTAAGGGAAGGGGAGAGACGGTGAATATATATCCTCTTGGTAGATGATGATGTGATTGTTAAATCAAGAATTGATCCTTACTTTGTTATTGTTGCAGGAGATGGTTGAGGAGGAGCAAAGAGTGGGATCCTGGGTGTGAGGAGGAATCCAGAGGAGAGTAGCAGGTTGACCCAGACAGAGTGGTGGATGTTGTAGCTGGAGATGAGACATCAAGATCCACAGGAAGGAGTTCCAGTGGTGAGAGAAGCCCTAGAGAGGACCAGATGAACCAGGCCGTGGAAGGTCCGATTGGCAGAAGATGTCCCAGCACTGGAGAGGAGACTGGCAGCTGCTTAAGTAGGTGAGTCAGCAGTACTCCTCAGATTGGTGGCAGGTGTGACGAGTTGGGTGATTAGCTGTGGAGGGAAAGTGACAAACAGACACAAACAGACAGAGGGAAAACAGGAATCCCACAGTGTTGACATATCCCTTATAATAAACATCTCTGAATAAGAGCAGTTGATGAGATTTCCTCAGTTATTAAACAAGTCAACAGAGTAGTGTAGATTTTGCTCCTTACAGATTACCTGTGGTGGTGATGCTGATGATGATGGTGAACACGGACCAGCCCGCTTCTGCAAATCTCTGCAACGCCCCAAGTTGTACATAAATTGCTAAGGATAAAACATGCAACATATAATTTGCATACACTAGAGGCATGAGATTTATAGAAGGAAAGATTAGGAGTTTATCTTAAAGTGTGAGCTCCGATGAGTAAATTGTATTTTGGCATATTTCCTTATCTGTTAGGTATCAATATTGATGTTAGCTTATTATTAGGGTTTATATTGTTTAGGGGTGTTAATTTAGGCCTAGGAATTATAAGGGATGGGAATCGTTAGTGTTTTCCACTGAACATTAATTGTAATTACATGACACATAGCTTTTTACAGATATATTACATATAGGATTTTTGTTGACATGATTTTTTTTATCATGTCAAAAGGGGGAATTGAAATATAATTTTATCAGATAATATATTAACTTAATGAAATGTCTAGATATATGTATCCCGTTTTGATATATAACCCTCGTGCGTTCTTGGGGGTCGGGTGGACCCCGACGCGAAGAGCGACAGCGACGCGGTCCGTCTTTGTGCGGGGGAGTCCCCGCGGGGCCCCGATGGCTAATCATTTACGCGTCGCCGCGAGTCCGGAAGCAGCGGAATGTCGACCGACCGCGCGTCGCGCTGGCGCTGGAACGCGCGCGAGGCGGGCCCGCTCATGTGCGTGCTGAGCCGGGGCTCGCCGCTGCATCGCTGCGGCGACGCATTGTCCCAAGACGCGTCGGACGAAGAGGAGGTGTCTTCGGGCGATGACGCCGTCGAAGCAGACGAAGAAGAAGCAGATGAGGACGAAGCAGAAGACGAAGCAGAAGACGAAGAAGCAGACGAGGACGAAGCAGAAGACGAAGAAGCAGATGAGGACGAAGAAGAAGAAGAAGAAGAAGAGGAGGAGGAGGAGGAGGAGGAGGAGGAGGAGGAAGAAGAAGAGGAGGAAGAAGAAGCGCCGGATGGGTGGTGGGCCGCGCCGCCGAGACGGACGAATGTCGTCCCCCCCGCGTCCCTCGCCCGAACCGAGCGGCGGTCCCATGTCATTGGCGACACGCGGGCCATGGAGGAGACGGTGGTGGCGGCGACCAACGCGGCCGCGGAACATCGTCCGCGGTGGCGTCGTATGGGCCGCGCAGAGTTTCGCGCGTACGTGGGGCTGCTGGTGCTCGCGGGCGTGTTCCGGTCGCGCGGCGAGGCCTGCGAGAGCCTGTGGCGCGCCGAAACGGGGCGCAGGGTGTTCCGCGAGACCATGCCCCTGGGTCAGTTCCGGGCGTACTCGGCCGCGTTGCGCTTCGACGACCGCGAGACGAGGGACGCGAGACGTGCCGCGGGTGACCGCCTGGCGCCCATCGGGGAGCTGTGGCACGCGTGGACTGAGCGGCTGCCGCTGGCGTATCGCCCCGGCGACAGCGTGACGGTGGACGAGCAGCTTGTTCCGTTCAGGGATGAGTCGTGGTTGGAGACCACCCACCTGGCGCGCGAGGCTTTGGATGTCGCACGGTGTGCGCGTGTTTTCGTTCTTGGTGTGCCTTTTTTTTTTTAACTCCCCCCCTCTTTTTTTTTTTCTTTTTCGCGCAGGACGTTGCGGCTTCCGACAGTACATGCCCTGCAAGCCGGCTCGCTACGGGCTCTAGCTGTGGGTGGCGTGCGACTCGCGCTCGAGCTACGCGTGGCGCGTGCAGGCGTACGTGGGCAAGCGCGACAAGACGGCACCGCCCGAGCGGGACCTGACGCTGCGCGTGGTGCTAGACCTGACCGAGGGCCTTCCCGCGGGCACCCTCGTAACCACGGACAACTTCTTCACCTCACCGCGCCTGGCGACGAGGCTGGCCGCCGAGCGCGGGCTCCACCTGTTGGGCACGCTGCGTGCCAATCGCGCTCGTGGACTACCTCGCGCGCTGCTGGAGTCGGCGCGGGAGCCACGGTCGTGCCGGTTCGCCATCACGCGCGATGCGTGCGCCGTCTCGTACGTGCCCAAGCGGGGCAAGAACGTGCTGCTGCTGATGTCCGAGCCCTCGCTGCTGAGGCTGCCGGACGACGAAGAGGACACGCGGCGGCCCGACGGCAAACCGCCCGCGCTCCTGCGCTACAATGCGAATAAGGGCGGCGTGGACAACCTGGACAAGGTGACGGCGGCCTACAGCGTGCGACGGAAGACCGCGCGGTGGCCCGTGGCGCTCTTCCACAATGTGATCGACGTGTCGGCGTACAACGCGTTCGTGGTGTGGCGCGAGCCGCACCCCGACTGGCTGCGGGGCAAACGCGATCGTCGCCGGCATTTCCTGGAGCAGCTGGGGCTGGAGCTGACGGGTGACCTGGTCGCGACGGTCGCCGCCGCCGACGAGCCTCCTCCTCCTCTTCGCCTCGCCCTCACTACAAGAAAGCGGTGCAGCGTCTGCCCGCGCACCAAGGACGTCAAGACGCGCGCCGCCTGCGGCCGTTGCGCCACGCCCCTGTGCCTGGGGTGCGCGGCGCTGCTGTGCCCCTCGTGCCTCCATGGAGCGCGACGCTAGACGCCCCGTTTGTATTTTTTTCCCCCTTTAAAAAAACACATATAATAAAAAAACACGCAATTAAACCATAGACGTGCGTCGGTTTTTTTTATTCGTACGTACAAAACACACAAGACCGATCGATGGGGGGGGGTGGAGAGAAACGGAGCGTTTATTTCCGTATTTAGCCGCGCAGCGCACAGACATACACACGCGCTCATCCATCCATCCGACAGGAAGCGGTTTTGTGCGGCGGGCGTACCCCCGCGCGCGCTTATTTTGTGACGACGACGCGGCCGTCACAGCGTCTCCGCGAAAGCCTCC